TCCTTATTGAACCTCATGAGGTTCCTCTCTGCCCAACTCACCAGCCTGTCCAGGTCCCTCTGGACCCAGAAAAATAGCCAGTCTCCAAAACGATTGAATAGCATTTGGATAAACCAAAATTCATTATTTACATATGTAGTGATCATAGAGTATATATTTTCAAATGGRAGCATGGAACTGTCTGGCTATAGAATGATCACAAGTAGCTGTTGAGTGAGGGTTTCTCTGGTGTTTTTATCTGGGTGAGGAGGATGATAACTAGTTTTGCACAGTGTTGAACTGAAATGCCTMTTACTGACACTTTTTTGATTTTTTTATTCAGATTGGGTTTGTGTTCAAATCTTTGCGTTTGTTTACAGGAAAACAATACTCTGTGTGTTTCTGTGGCTATGATAGAAAGAGTCACCTAMATGTGGACAGGGGTAGGAGGTTAGAGCAATATGAGGTTATAGCAATAACCTTAAGAATTTGTATTGGCTGCTACATCCATGTAGTGACTCATTATCAAGATATGTTGTACTCAAAATGGCAGAAAAGTCTGTTCCTGCATGCTTGCTCACTAAATGTTACACATGCTCTAGCTGCAGACATGAGAGACATGAGGAGACTGTTGTTTACCCTGAGATGAGAGACCTTGTCAGCTGTTTGCTTTTAAAGGGGTGGAGGATCTTCATGCTGGCATGCTTATTTCTTTAGTAAGCCAAGGAAGTGATGTTGTGAATGAAGACCTAGTATGGTATCTTCAGTGCAGCTTACTTCAGCWGACCCTCATGGTTGAGACTAGATAGATCACCAGTTTTCAAACTTGGCTCAGTAGGACGTTTATGCACACTATGTTTGGTTTAATGATTTTAAGATGTAATTTCCTGGAAATATTGTGCCCTTTAACATTGTAATTCCAATATTGTTCTTCCGTTTATTAGTCAGTGATCAGCTAGAAAAGCTCATATAAAATACTTTTTCATCTGAAAGCATAATTCTGTCTAAAATGGTCTTTGAAATGAATATTTTTGAAGTTTCATTACATAAGTAAAAAAACAGTGATGAAATAAAGAAAAAGTTAATGGGCCTTATTTAGTAAAATAGATTTCTGTGTTCAAGTTAATTGTTCCTTATTCATTCTGTGAAAGTAAAAGAAATTTTGAGATTTGCCAAGAAAAGTTGCATAGATCAACCCAAAACTGAGTCTCTTCTGTGTTTCCTGGAGAAAATTGAAATATAAAGATTCGTTTCAGAATCAGTAAAATTCAGAATTGACTTGCATATTCAAAATAGCAGAATCTTCTCCTGCTCTTTGATGTCTAAATGATTTTCTACTGAAGAAAACAATTCAGGAAGAGTATTTTTATGTAGTATTTGACCCTAAACGTGGTGCGGTATGTATCAAGGATTATACTTGATTTATCCTCTCTGAATTTGTTCCTTTTTCTTAAAGAAATACATGTCTGTTTGGTTTCAATAACATAAAAAACTTTATTTTATTCTATACAGGACAACAGTGGAAGTCTTCTATCTTACATGGTCTCATACTATTTGCGTAATTTTGATGAGGTGAGTGAGAATTAATTTTTCCCTTTTGGACTTGAGAACGAAAGATTACATGGTCAAGATGAGGAAATGTGCACAAATGCTGTGCACAAATACTCTTTGTGTTTTTAATTATTTGTAAATATATAGAAAATGTAATGAGCATCACTTAAACGTTTATGTTTTTGTCAGGATGCTGGAAAAGAACAATGCAGCTTCCCTCTTCCAGAGCCACAAGATCTCTTCCAGGCTTCTCAAATGAAGTTTGAAGATTTTCAAAAGGAGCTTCGCAAAATGAAGAAAGATTTGCGAGGTACTGAATCTRATTTACATACTACCTATATGTTACTATATGTCTCCTTTTTCATTTTGAGAGATTAGATGATGATATAAAAAGCTACCTATATTTTGACTCCTCTGTTAGGATTTTGTYTCCGTGATTTGGTTTTTCATGATCGTTGTATCAAGACTTCTRTATTTTCTGTAGATAAATTGAGAAGGTATATTTAAAATAAGCAATCTCTCCCTTTTGTTTTCATATCGAAACAGAAGTGTAGGAGGAAAAAAACCTTTATTAAATTCAGCAAGTCTTTCACTGTAGGAAACACAGTGAAGTCTTAGATCACTGAAGTCTTAGATCATTTCATAACAAAAAAGATAGATTCAAATACTTTATTTTTTCCTCAACTTTTACGTAGTATTTAGCATATGGTTAAAGACAGTTGAAATAACTAACTTTGAAATCTAATATTGAGAAGYAGCAGTATTTCTTATGCTTGAGAGTTGTTATTTAATATTTAATGTCTTTAAATAGATGTATGACAGAACACTGGGAAGCTCATTTTAAGTAAAGGTACAGTTTGTGGAAGAGCTGAAAAATCTTCCTCACTATTTTTACTGATATTTACTTTTGCAGCTCTCTGACAGAATGTCCAGGTATGTAGCATTATACTAAATATTGCAGAGAAGGATTCAAGTCAAACAATCACATGATCATAATATTTCTGTTGTCTTGCTGGCTTTGGAAGTGAAACCTCTAGAGAACAAGGAATAGTTTGGTAAATCATTAGTCCCTGAGCAACTTAGAATGGAAGGCTCTCTGAACAAAACAAAATATGGTAAAAAACTTAGTACATAATCGTCCCTTYTTCTCAGATTTTTGTTTGTTTGTTTTTTGGATGTTTTAAAATTTGTATTAAATACTTACAGTTAATATATAAAATTTTATCAAGATCACTTGCTACAAAATTATCCCCAATAAATTTAYCAGGAATCTTTTTATGTGTTGAGAAGCTGAAATCTTTTCAGATTAGAGTTGAWTTTTTTTTTTTTGCCCAGAGTTGAATATTTTATTGAATAAATCCAGAATTCACAGTGATCAAAGTAGGAGTTCTGCAAAAATAGAAACTACATGCATTGTTCAGACATGAGAATGCAGTTGAAATATTTCTGTACCTCCAATTCCAGCCTTTAGGGTGAATTATCAGTGCTTGTCACACTGTTCTTTAGTTATTAAAAGTGAACAATAACTGGAGATACCGTGTCTTTCCCTATTCCCTTTAGTCCTAGACCTCTGTGAAAAAGGCAGTGGTCCCCTTAGGTGTTCAGGCCTAGATATGAAATGATTCTTTTGATAGTCATCTGCAATTCTACTACTTTATCGTGAGCTTTGCATAATGTAAAATGCTTTATGTTGATACCACATTCCAAAGGAAAATTCAAAATACCTATATTAAAAAATAACTTAAGGTTGCAAAATTCTGTTAATTCCAGTGGCCAAATTGTCCTAGTGTAGTGCAAATTTAATTCTTTCATTAAGACAAATAAAGCAAATTTGGAATACAGTTTTAACTGAGTGAATGAAGCAACTTCAAAGATTGTTCACCTCTGCAATAAGAATGTCACTAATTTGCTAATTTGCTTCTGAAATTTATGATTCACTAGAGGAATTCCCTCATTAAAAAACTGAGCAAGAATGGTCATGTAAGTTGCTGAGCAAATTTTGACAAAGTTAGTGAAAGTAAACAAGTTGAGTGTTTCTGGGAAATACTATTCATTGCCATAAGTCCTTGATATAAATGTCTGTGAAATGTACTGTAGCTTTACACAGAGATGCGTTATTGTGGATGTGGAGTGTAACCTTGGGTCCGTTTTCATCAGTGATATGATGGAGGATTTCGTAAGAGGATTTCACTCTTTTGGTTTATTTCCTTGATTTTTACTTTGAATTATCAGTGAAAAACTTAAAATTACACTTATCTTTGTTACAATTTCATTGTATGTTTCTTTGTTACAATTTCATTAGTATGAGATTTTGCCCTGGATGGCTTCATATGCACTGGAAACCTTATAGAGTAGAATCATATTTAGTAAAATTAGGGAAAGGAGTTGTGTGCTCACCCAAGAATAAAAGCTTGTGAAGATAACTTATTTCTGAGTACTTTTCATAATTGCTTTTCTCAAATATAGGTACTAATCCAAAGGATTGCTTTCATAAATTTATGAGAAAGCTTTAAAACAACAACAACAAAAAAAAAAAAAACACGGAAAGATTATGAAAATCTGCTTTGTAAACATAACAGTAGCAATTCATTTTAGCAACACTATATTTTCTATTTAAATAAGTCAGTAGCATAGGCAGAGACTTGCAGATGTAAATCACGTTTAAGGTTCTGTAAAAAATAWTTGTGATGGTGTTTTACAGCTCTAAGCTTGGACTCATGTTTGTGTTAAAGGAGTAGCTGTGTTGATTTGCTTAAAAACAAAACTTGTTACTAAAACTTTTGTGCTATTTTTCTTTATGAGTGTAGAGGCTTTTGTCCATTTTTAAGTTTAGGAACTGCATGTCTTATACTTGTAAATTATAGAAAATAAAGTCTCTTAAAATTTCACATTAAAAACTTAGGTCTAAAAGGCTTTCAGAGAGTTTGAAGACTAATCAGGCAGAAATATTATTTACTTATTTTAACTGAAGAAGAAAACTCACTTCACCTAGTATTATAATGGAAGATACACTAACCCAACTTGCAAATTGCTTACAAAATTTCCAGATTTCTCAGCTTTGCTTTTGCTTTTTTTACACACTGTGAGTAAAGTTTATATAATAGTTGTTTAAAGAAGTAGAAGACCAAAGTAGAGATAAAGCTTTTGATTACTGAACCAAGTGAGTTTGGCTCCATCTGTTGCCCCCAGATTTCACAGCTCTCCAGGATTCTCAGTTTAGTCTTTTTGACTTCAGTGACATATAGTTTGTTAAGCAACTTGATCTGCTTTTGATCTCTCCTGGCTGTCAGCAGCCTTYCTTGATGCAATCATGCCAAGTGATGACTTCTGTCCTTATGTCATTCCACAGTAGAAACTTTAGCACTTGCCACATGACTTAAATCAACTCACCATGTAAAGAAAACTGGACATTCAGGGTCACAAGATTGATGCTTGGCTCATAATGATTAGGTCTTGTGCTGTGTATTTATTGTTATTGGTTCTAGACTTAAAAAGATGACTTCATTTCGATTATTTTGCAATTAAAATAGGTAGGATTTTTATTGATCTATAAAGCACTTGGATTTCTCAGAGATTTTCACAAATATTAAAAATAGCTGTCAAGCCTGTGCAACAGTGTTCAATAGACTCTTTACACAGTAACATGAAAGCATGTTTAGAATCAATTGATGTGTTAATCCCTTTAATAGTCTGATTCTCACTAGAAGTATAGTGGTGGTTTAGGAAAATACTGGATTTGTATGCCATTACATTCTCCAGGACAGGTAGTCATCAGTTGTCTTTGGTGCAAATCTTTCACCTCAGCTAAATGAATCAGAAACAATGGTAGGCAGAAAATGGTATGAGATGAATGATACCGGGATAGCATAGATTGATCAAGAATAAAGAAGAAATCAATACTTGTTTGTATGTCGTAATGTTGTCGTAATACTTTATTGGCCTTTTGTTGCCAACTAATTACAAGAAATAATTGTGATAATTATTTGTATAATGTTTTTTTCTGCTGTGAGTACTTAAAATGCATTGAAAAATCTGTGTTGATACTAGGCCCTGTTGCATGGCCCAGTGATCTCTGATTTGGAATAGACCTGATTGCAAATGCTCATAAAATGTTAGGCATGTGCAGAACACTTTGTATTTTAAAAAGTATGTTTAAAGAAAGAAAACAACTCTCAGTGACTTGGAAAAACACCTTTATTTCCCTGAATCTTTCTATGCTTCTTGCTATCACCTGAAATAATCTCCTCAGCTTGGATATGCTAGTTGTAGGGCTGGTGTGTACTCTCAGGTTAAATACCCTCTGTTTAAATTGGAGCAGTGGAAACCAGGCATTATGGAGTAAAATCTTTTGARAATAAAATTTAGAGTAATGCCGACATGGAACTAGGTATAGTGGATAGAGAAGGAGTAGTTGGATGGTCATTTTCCTTTTCTTATTCACTTGGGTAACTATTAACTATTTAACTTCTGATTGAAAAAAAGAAAAAATCGTCTTGCCTTGGTTAAAACTGCCACTGAAAATTAAGAAGAGGCATCAACCCAGAAAGCTGTACTTTTGGGGTGAGATTTCTCTCTTCTCCCTGCCTCACCTCCATGGATGGTGGATGAAATTAACCCTGTCTGAAGAGGTTTTGCACAAACCTAATATTTCTTTGAATGTGTGACTGCATTTATATTCTGATCTTGTTTGAAGAGAAGAGGGCGGGGAGCTGTATCTAAATCCATCAGAGAGAGAAAAGAGAATTAAAATAGGGGGAAATCATATAGTTGGAGAGTTCAAATGTTTGAATTCATGTTCTCTTCAATAACTAACTGTCTTAAGGTACTTTTTATGATAAAATGCTAAATTTCTCAAGTTTTACGGGGGTTTGGTCAAATATGGGGTTTGGTCAATTCTACAGCTACCTTCACAGTTCAACTTCACAGGAGCAATTCTTGTATTAACCAAATTAAATCTTTACTTTTGCCTACTCATCAGCTGTATGCTCCAGCTGTTTGCTCAACAGTCACTGAAAGGGTTAATTGCTGCAGCTATGCTGTATGCAGACTCCTAAAGCTAAACCAGATGTAAACTAAAGCCAGGCTTTCAGTCAATCTGTGAGTCATATTTTACTGTCCTTAAAACTCCAAACAAGGAGCTGTCTATGGAAGCCCTTGAAGACTCAGCAATTCTTAGTACAAGTCTTTACAATTCCAAAAAAATAAATAAAAGAAAATTAAGAGCTCTTTCTGTACTTGTGGCTGAGTTCATCAGAGTTCCTCTTTTGATGAGGCCAGTTTTGTTCCCTTTTGGTAAAGTCTAAGTTTCTTTTAAAGTCTAAGGTTGTAGCTGTAGGGAATACCGAAAGCATTGAGAAAGTTGTGAAAACAGTGGTTATACACGGCCTCTTTTGCAGTCAAGTTGAACATCCCCTCTAGGGGTCCAAATGCTCAGAACTCCTGAAAATTTAGGTACATAATTTCAAAACTTCTTTTAAAATCTCTRAAGACATAGTCCACTAACTGTCAATGCAAGTCATGCCTTTAAGTATCTTAAACAGTCTTGAAAGTCCTTGAAAGTTTTATAAGACAAGTATGTGGTTTCATATGTGGTTAACCAGAACACCCGAATGGTCTTCAGTTAATTATCTGTCCCAGGATAGCTCAGAGCTCTGTTTGCCTTCTTATTGTTTCTTTTGGGTGTGACACGAAGCTTGTATGTTTTTGGGGTGTTGAAACAAAAATCGGATTGCCCATTATTATTCTGACTAAAGACAATGACTTTTAGCCTAAGGCGCAGCTGGTCATCTGCTCACATGAAATGATATGAAACTATTTTTGAGGCTTTAGATACATCTGGAATGTATTTTTTCTTTTAAAACTTTTGGTTTTGAATAAATAGTTTTACATTGATTTCTAGATAAGGAACATTGAAAAGGTTTGTATGCATATGGTCAAAAAGCTACGAGTTTGGATTGCCCAACATTGGAAGCTTCCCTCATAGGGATGCATTGGTATTGTTTCTCAAGAGCATCAAMGACAGTCCTCTGAAGCACACAGTGTTAGAGACCAGACTGTTTTCTCTGGAGGATATATGTGTGTTAAAGTTTCTGTTTTGGAATAGGCTACTCAGAGGTTGTGGAGTCTCCTTTTTTGGAGATCTTCAAAACCTGCTTGCACGCCACCCTGTGCCACRTGCTCTTTGGTGTCCCTGCTTGAGCAGGGGGGTTGGACTAGAAGATCTCTAGAGGTCCCTTCCAACCTCAACCACTCTGTGATTCTGTTTGACTGCTGATTATTTCTACTGTTGTRGTAGTGCTGATATGTTGCTAACAATAGAGAGGGTTGGTGCCTTTGATGTAAAGAGAGAAGAACTTGTCCCTCCCACACCTTGCTTAGAACTTGATGTCTTTGAAGAATATAAGGTCAGTGCATGTGGACTGAGTAGTGGGGCTACAGAGACTTGAGTCATTCACCCTACAAAGCCATATGCAGAAGTTACTTCTCTTGATTTCTGTTTTGGCAATGTCAGGCTGTGAGATAAGGTTTTAAACAGTCTTTGGCCTTTATTAGTGCCTGTATGTCTCTCACCTGTGGAGTCCTGAACACCTTTCAATTCTTTCACTGAATGAGAATTTAAGACTTGCTTAAAATAAGTTAAGCTACTTTACAGGGGTTGCTTTGTCTAAGTTTTTTCTTGTGTGTTTCCCAGTGTGCAAGAATAACAGATCCTGTGAGAACAGAGATATGATAGCAGAGGATGTTTTGAATCTGTAACTTGATGGAAATCAGAAAAGACATTGAAATTTTGTTTCAGACAAAACTTTTGAAAGCTCCTCATATCAGAGCCCCCTTGCCAAACCTAGTCCTTTGATATCTGGAATGTTTAGCTGGGCTTTTATATGTAGAGAAATGTTTTGGAAAACGGAATTGAGGAAAAAATAATCAAGTGTAGACAATTAGTTTGATATTCTCATACCCTTTTATAGTGTGTTTTGCTTCGTTTAGAGAGAAATACTTGTAACTCTCTAGTGCTTTGTGTTCCTCACATATGAAAAGCACTTGGCTTCCTCTGGTTACAGGGAGTAATAACAGTATCTCGTCCAAATGGGAGAGATTTAGACACRATGAAAAATAACAAAACATCACAAAGAAGTGTCATATCCATCAGGTTGGGCTGGAAGTCCATGATTAACTCATTGCTCTGTAGAACTGGGAAATTTAGGAGTTTAGCCTGTTAATTCTGTAATGAAGAAAGCATCCAAGAACTAGTCTGTATTAAACATGAGCTTTATCAAAACTGGCAGATTATAGTACTGATAGCAGTATGGCAACAACTTTTAAAAGTTGAATTTTACATATGATACCTCATTTTATGTACAAAAAGCAAAAAGGAATATTCTGTGCTTGCTTTTATTTTTTAAATGAATTATGCATCATTTGCAACCCAGGAACAGGATGAATTAAGATTGTCGAAGTAAGACCATTTGCCTGAAGTTTCATTCAGATCAATTGAATTCGAACCGTATGCTCCCTCTGTAAATTCTTAATACAGGAGGTAAGCAATAATTATTCTGATACTCACCGTAAGAACAAGGCTACTTCCAGCTCCCTGGGAAATCCAACATTTTGCAGATACATATTATAGCAAATATAATCATCTGTACTTCTTTACCCTCTATGTCACTGAAGGTAGTGATATTTATTTATGTGTGTGTACACATATATAAATGGCATTATAGGACAGGCAGACATGGGTGTTAAATGTAATTCTCATGAATTGCTTATTCAAGTTAGTTTTTTTTAGGCTCAGTTCCTTGGTAGTTTAGTAGCTGCATAGAGRCAAAATATACCAGGAGCATCCCATTTACTTGCTCTGATTGCTGCTCAATACTTCTTAGCTCTGTATGATTTGTAGACTATCCTGAAAATGGATGTATAAGTTTATTTTCGTCAGCTCAACAAGTGTTTTAACAAAAAATCTCATCAGTACTTGAGATGGAACTGAACTCTTCTCAGCCCCAGCCATGTTAGTCTCTCCTCAGRTGGGGGGAAAGAAAATCTGAAGAAACAAGGATATTAACCATGATAACCATTTATTCTTCACCCACGTGCACATACAAACCATGTAAGAGTTTCCAATATGTGAACGGATGAAGAAAGAAAGATTACACATTTAATTATGATATTATTACCTGTTATCATCATTTCCATRGGAAAATAAATATAAAAGTTGGTGTATCTGCATTTCTTTACAGAAAAGAGGCAGATGTAAGGCATTGACATGGGTGTAGGCTAAGATCTTTGTTTGGGCGTATATCCTTCTAAGATCTATGCCTCTCTAAAATTAGCTAAGATATCAAGAGTTGATCAAAAATAGACTGCATTTCTCATGATGCCATTGTAGACATCTTTTACCTTCGTATTTAGAGATCATTATGATAGTACGTTCTACCTAAATTTCTACTTTTTTTATATGCCTAATATTCTGCATTTAAACATGCAGAAATAATCATTTACCTGAAACAAATCCTTGAGAGCAAATGAGGATAATGCATTTTTCTATGTGTACAATTTTATTGGAAATTTTGAGATAGAGTCAAGCAGGATCCATTTGTGTTGAAAGGTAATGGGAGTTTATCACAACCTGAAGAGATTTGCACTGTAAAACAGACCAGAACTTAGTAGTCTCCCAGAGTAGGGTCATGTCTTCTGTTGCCCCAAACTGAGCAAGTTTGGGTAGTTGCTGGGAGCATGATCATATCAACTTGTCTTTGACTAATCTGTGTCAAGACTACTTCAGGCTCAAGCTTCTTTGCCCAGATTCCAGAACAGTTAAACCTAGTCTGCCCAAGGTCTATCATGGAGTTTAGACTATGCTAACTACTATATAGTTGTTCTTTAAACATTTTACACCGTTAGTCTTGAATGATACAAGACACTTCAGCACATTTGTGTTTTTAGCAGATATTGAGTCCTCATCAATGTTTTACTGACTAAATTAAGATCCTGCCTGCTCTTTAGTGCATATTTTGCACCTTAAGTTTCTGGTGGATTTTGTTGTTGTTGTTATTTTTTGTTTTTGTTTTCATGTTTCAAGTAGCTTTACCTGTGTCCAGGTGCATCAGCGTGGCCTGGAATCTGAGTTTATTGTTTTCTTCATGTAACTTTCATACTCTTAACATTGTCTTTCTCTTTTAAAACAGTTGAATTCTTTTGTTTACTTTCAGAACTGGTCATTTAACCTAAAAGTTACCATGGCCATCTTCTCTCTATATTTTGGTCAAAAGCATTTGACTAGGAACATAACAGCTTCTGAGTAGATTATTCTGAATAGATTATTGTTTACACTTGAAATTTTGAATTTGAAGCCTGTTTTCTAGCTATCTCACTGGAAAGGCACTAATTCAAATACAGTATGCATAACTATACCAGGATATGTCATTCTAAACTAATCTGTTACTTCAATTTCAGCATGTGAGACAGAAGCAGCAAAAGTTTATCAGCTATCACTAGAAGAGCACCTCCAGCCTTTCAAAGACAGCATGGAGCAATTCATTAGTCAAGGTAAGTAATGAATCGTCATTTAACCTTTTCATGACATTTCAAAGGAAAGTTATAGGATCAATGTTTATACGTTTTGAGAAAGGGAATGTTTATTTTGGTGTCATAGAAAGATGTGGATTAGTTTAATCAGATGCCACACAGTTTTAAAAGATTTGCAGGATGACTCTGTTGTACTGTAGGTGACTCATTCTCTTCTGTGTGACAGCAAAGACAAATGCTATTGGCTTGAGTGTGTGATCTTTTGGTAAGTTCAACATTCCAGTAGAAAACAATTTTACAACCTTTGTTCCTTGAAAAATTATTGAGGCTGGATCTGTTTCATTAATTTCTTTCCAAAGCGATAATTCTTTTGAATGTTCCAAAAACATGTTGTATGTGTAACAAAAGTAGTTRCAGGTTTTCCAGATATAAGGCAAATGCATATGAAATACTTGGATGTGATTAGTGGAAAATACTGCAAGAGAAAATGTATTAGGAGTATCCATGATGAACTGGCGTGTTGAGTGCTAGAAGGAGAGCACATTAACAGAGAAGAGACATTGCTTGAGAGGCACTTTTTCTTTTACTTTTTTTCTGAGTGCCTAACTTTAATAGCTGACTAGACGTATTAGAGGTATATCAGAGCATCTTTTGAAATACTRCTCTGAATATATACTCTATCAACCAATTCAATTTCTTCTAATAGAATTTAGAACTMGATATATGAGGGTGACAATGGCCTGCTGAGTATACCATTTCTTTTTAACTTTACTGGCCACATTGCCACTCTTTTTACTGCATTTCATAATGGAAGACAGATTTGTTGTCTCCTGGCAGGTAAGTTATGTGAAAAGTCAGTTTCTAGTACTTGTTCAACATAATTCTAAGTAATTCTTTAGTCTAGACCTTTGTTTACAGAAATTGTTGACTGACTGCCCGTTGTTCGAGAGGTCAGTCAGATACATTTATCTTAGTTGTAGTATTCAAGATGAGCATCTAACTGAACAGTTTAAAAATAGAATATACATATTCTAATATATACTGATCCATACTATGGACCGATAYCGGTCAATAAATTCAGTTAACAATTTGTATATGTAATTATTACAAAATAACTGCTTAGAATGATCAAATGTTAGTTGATGTTTCCTAAGACAAAAGTCAGTTCCCAAAGTCTGGCAAGCAGGATGGTGTTTCCTGAACTTTGAGACAGATGAATATTACATGCTATGTTACATGTGGCATGGTGAAGTATATAATTAGTATTTTACATTTGATTATGTGAACAGAAGACAATCGAGTCACTTGTTAGCCTGACACAAGTTGCTAACAATATACTCTAAATCATGCCATTGCACATTAACAGTTACTAACAGTAGCAAATCAAATAGGATTATATTATCTTTTACATTTTACATATATCTGTTAGATTTATTTTAGAAAATTTGAACAGTCTTCAAAGTATCTGACTCTGTATTTTACCCTGCTTACAGCTTTTGACTATGAATTCCAGAGGGTATTTACAGAGGATAAGGAGTAGTAATCTGTTCTGTTTTTGCAAGGTTGTATGATTTCCTTCCTTGCTTCYATGTCTGTATTTTGGGAAAGTAAGAAAAAAGATAAACAAATTCATCTGCTATGTTATGCTCCCATCCTAATAGTGGGTATTGCCAGGTCACTGACAAAGAAGAAACCCATAATGTCAGTAAGTTGTTGTTGTCATACTTTAATGGAAGTTATTGGAATTGAGAATTGTGATCAACCATTGTGAATAAACAATTTCTGTATTTACTTAAAACTACAAGGACTRTTTTTCACAATTCATTACAATATAAGAAACACAAAGGTTAGTATACAGGAAAAAAGAATCCCTGGTTAAGTTCTAAAAATAAAGTAATTTTAAATACCTTTCATTATGAAATCCTTTGTTTTTACTTCGTGGGATTGAATTCAGACTTGAAAGAGGCCATGTTTAAAGCAGGATTTCTCTTTCCTGTTCAGTGTTTGACAGGCTTTTGATCTAGATATTTTTTCTAAGGGCTTKTGTTGTTTATGTAGACATAATCGATGAGTCTTTTCAGCTAGACTGCACACATGATCATTTAGAAAAACAGAAGGACAATTCTTGGCACCTTTCAGGGATTGGTGTTTATATAACATATGCTCTGGGCAAAGAAAAATCAAGCTTTAAGTTTTTATCTTTCCAAGTTCCAATTTCTCTGAAGTCAGAAAAAGTTTTAACTTACAATTCAGATGAAAAGCATTTTTCATAGGGTTGAATAATTTGGCATGTTTATACGATGCTTTTTTAGAGTAGATAACTTGTATGCGTAACGGGACCTAAAAGTTCAAAATTGCTAGTTATTTACAACATATTCACTTGTACTTGTTGCAGTTAAAATGGAAAACGCTTTTCCCATAGGCAAGAAATTTGGACATCCCGTTAAATATCACTGGCAAGGAGTTAGAAAGRCACTGCTTTATAAGAATAGTTACCGTCTGGCACTGTTAGGTAACTTTGAATAAATTATTGTTACTTGTGTAACTGTTACTACTAAAATATTTGTTCTTTTTAATGTTAATGAACTTATTAAGTTCATCAGAGACACGAAAGGTTATATATTAGAGAACTTTTAGCTAAGGATGAATAAGGAGAATCAGGGAAATGTGTTCAGGGTCCTAACGTTTTAAACAAAAGTACTGGTGATACCTATATCTATATCACAAGTGTGTGTATATGTATATATGTGTGTATGTGTATGTTTGAGGCTATTCAGCTTTTATCTTACCTGGTGAAATGCATAAATTATCAGTATATTTATCAAAAAGATTCACCAAATAATCAAAGGGTCCCAGTCCCTTTCCTGATGGACTTTGGGGTCATTTTACATTACTTYGGGGATCACTCTAACAGAAGATCAAACTATCTGTTGTATCTTTCCTACATCAGAAGGTATCTGCATGCCTGTTGTAGCCTAGGCACTGTGGAGGGCCTGTGTACCTTGAGACCTCCACAGCAACCCTCTCTGTTCTCCTCCCCTCTTTTCTCCCCTTCTCTTTTGGGGAGCCGCATGCTGGAAACCATCTGTCAAAAATTATATGACATGTGTTTTTACCTTTACTCAAAAGTTAATCATTTGTGCTGAAATTCTCCATAGCTGCAGGGGATTTTTTTGTTGTTGTTGTTGTTTAGATTAAGCTACTTCCAAAAAGAGCTTGTGGGAAAATTTGTCAAAATGCGTAAGACTTTTAAAAGGCATATTGTTTTGCTTGCTACATATTTCTAGCCATTTCCTTGAAGGTTTCCAGTATTTGAGTGATATGAAACATAAGCCTGACATTTAGTAGATATATGGTCCTGTTTCAATGAAAAGCTTTTTGGGCCAAATTACCAGCATTTGAAAAGTACTGTTTGCATGTGCTCAACATAAGGTATGCCTTCAGTGAAGTTTTGTGTCAGTAAGTTGCTCCACCCAAGTTATCATAGTCTGAATAAGATAGATTACAAGGGAAAACCCACTTAGAGAATTTTATCCATAAAGATTTGAGGAGTGGATGCTATAGGGGCACCAAAACTGTGAGATCACGTCCAACAGCTCAGAAAGCCAAATCTATTGCTTTTTCATGGTGAAAAGCAGACTTTGGGTGCTGGCTGTTGGGACTGCAGCTATGCTTTGTGTACTSATTTGCCTGATGAGGTAGGGAACTCATGATAGGAGGCAGCTGCTGTCAGAAAAAGTGCTTCTTAGAAAAATAGCTCTAGTTTGGAATCTAGGAAGGGGCAGTGTGTTTGAATTACAGCTTTTTCACTTAGATCYTAAAAACTGTGTTGATGTCACAGACTTCAAAGCTGAGGAAGTCATCTGATAGCATATTCAAGCCAATTCATAAGCCAAACCAGTATTATTTATTTTAGACTTTATGCTGGAAAAAAATATATATAATTTGGATTATTTAATTTAGAATTTCTTTCTGGATTAGTCAAGCACTAGAGTGGACTCCTTACTAAATGAATATATTAATAAATAAATTAGTAAATGAAGTAAATAATTTTCAGATGTTTAGCTTATCAAAAAATATTTATAATAATTCTTATATGCCTGTAAATTGGAGTGAGCAAGGTCATCATTTGATTGTAGCTCACTTCTAGTTTTTAAAAAATCCCATAATTCTGGTCTTGTCAGGAATACCAGCACCAGGCTTCAGTTGGTTGGACCCAGAAATAAAAACTACTCTTCAGACCTAAATTCTAGCCACATCCTTGTAGTGCTGCAGAATAAAGATGCTAAGYTTGTCCTCTGGGACGAACTGTCTGTAACAGTTGCCCTCTTTGCCAGGAACAGCATTCACAAATCCAGTTTCCAAACCTTTAGTAAATGGGCATATAAATCACAAAGTGTGTTGCATTTATCTCTGTGGTTGCAACCAGATAGTTGGCCATGACTTGCTCTTTTAGGTCAAGCAGAAAAAAGCTGTGCATCAACAGATGATGGATTGTGAATGAGACTAAAGCATCGGGCTGAATCTTGGATGGCTGGGTTCAGTCCCTGGCTCCAGAAGTAGTGGTGCACATGACTGCCAAATGAATGTTGCTAGGGCGATCTTAATTCTGGTGTTGTCTACGTTCAGAATGATTGATTTTGCAGATTCCACATTTGTTAAGTGTTGCTTTTATGATTTGATTAATATAATGGAGAACATAGCATTATATTTTATTTWAAAAAAAAATCTATGACTAAAAATATTATCAGGAATATATTCTAAGAGATATTTTTTCTTTACTTAAAAAAAAAAAAAAAAGTACCCAGACCATTAAAAGGTTTAAATACTGGTGGAGGTATTCACTTTAAATATTTCTATTAGCAAAGTATATTTATTATTATGATTCAAAAAATTAAAGCTTGTCATTTTAAGAGATGGTTGGAGGAATATGAAGAAGAAGCAACATACAAACGAACAAAAGATAAGTGGAATATACACTAAAATTAATTCTGTGAATGTTTGTATTTCTGTGTTAGTGT